GGCCTCTGAAAGCCAGAAGAAGAAAACAGGAAACAACCTAGGAACCTACCACAGAGGGCCTCTGAAAGCCTCTGCCCTGCAGACTATCAAAGCAGATGCTGAGCCTGATGGCCAACTGTCGGGCAGAGTGAATGGAATTTTAGGTAAGAAGTGGGAAATAGCAAGAGCTGGAGAGGACAGGAACTCCACAAGGAGAGCAACAGAACAAGAAAATTTGAACACAGGGAACTTCCCAGAGACTCATACTCCAACCAAGGACTATTCATGGAGATAACCTAGAACCCCTGTACAGATGTAGTCCATGGCAGTTCAGTGTCCAAGTGGGTTACATAGTAATGGGAAGAGGGACTGCCTCTGACATAATCTGATTGGCCTGCTCTTTGATCACCTCCCCCTGAGGGGGGAGCAGCCTTACAAGGCCACAGAAGACAACAATGCAGCCACTTCTGATGAGAACTGATAGACTAAGATCAGAAAGAAGGAGAGGAGGACCTCCCCTATCAGTGGACTTGGGGAGGGGCATGCATGCAGAAAGGGGAGGAAGGGTGGAGTCGGGAGGGAAGGAGGGAGGGGCTTATGGGGGGATACAAAATGAATAAAGTGTAATTAATAAAAGTTAAATAAAACAAAACAAAAAATAATAATTACATGTTAAGTACTGAGAGAGTTTTAAATTCCTCCGACAGAAAGAAGTATTAAATATTTAAGATACAAATCTCTATTACCCTGATTTGATCACTGTACAAGTTATACATGTTTCAAATTACCATATCATCCTTATAAATTTATATAATTGTCTTAATTACTTTATACATGATTTTTAAAATATATAGAATATTTACTCATACATAAGTTTCTAGTTACATAACAGAGAATGCCAGAGACATTCTTAAACAACAAGAGAGACATTCATCTGTTCTTTCATGTTGTTATTTTTTTGGTGGATTTTTGTTTGTGTTTGTAGTAATCTTGGAGGAAGCCATTGGCATGTTAAGTAAATGAAGATAAATGAAGGAATCAGCATGAACAATGTTTGCTAGGAGATTAAACCTACTAGGAACATCTACAGGTGTTTTTTTTTTTCTTCTTTTGCTTTATTCTATTTTGGCTATATTAATCTTTTAGAGTTCTAACCATACAGGAATATTGAAATGTAAGTCATTTATAAATATATTACATATAATATCAATATATATTCCAAAGCATACTATATGTTATAATATAATTACCATTTTATAGGCAGAGACAAATATTTAATGATGCTAAATAACTTGTTCAAGGTCATACTTTCAAATGTCAGTCAAGACTTTGAATTACACCAGGCTCATGAATTTGGAGTATTCTTTTAGCCACTCTGCTTTGAAATCTCATACTGAAAACATGATTTATCACTCCAGAATTATTCCCCCGAGAACCAATCATCAGTTGTTGGTTCTTGCATAGGCTTAATTTTTTGTGAGTCATGATCCTTTTCTGACTGTTGGTCCTGGTTCTAAGAAGTTCTTTTGTCTTAGGGAGTGGTGGGTGGTAATTGTGAGTGATCAGTGGCTTTTCAGCCATAACTTGTCTTAGTCCCCAGGAAAGAGGTTAGTTAGTGCAGCAGTTCCAAATAGCCTCTCTTGTATTTACTCAGTATTTTTCTGCTAGGATAAGTATATATCCCATTAATTATTTACTGAAGCCTCTTTTCTTCCCCAAAATGCCCCAGGATAAATGATAAATTACATGATTGTCTTACTATCACATCATTGGCATGGTCAAAAATCTAGAGCTCCTGCTAAGGAAGTAAGGGACATTTCTTCCTACCTAGCAACATTGCCTTCCAGTCAGTCTTCCTTCCCCAATTTTCATTTTATTCTGAAAAGTATTATTTATCTCAGTTAATCACAATCTGCTGTCCTACCATTCCAACCTAGGATAAGCTAATAATTCAGATATGGACAATTATGACAATCCATCCCTATGGGCAGTAGGGAAGTGATACAGGAAAAGTCAAACCACTACTGAACTTTAAATAAGATCCATTTATGCAACAGCAGTAATTCCTACCAAATGAAACTTCTACAGAGAATGAGAAGGAGTGAACATCAAGGCTTAGGGTGATTGATTGTTGGAAAGCAGGTGATTGCATGTACCAGAATGAACAAAAATATGACCCAATAGGCATGCTCTCCTGACTTGGTTTCACACTTTTTAATTCAATTATACCAACCATGCTGGTATCTTTGCATATATGCTAATATAACCCTTTCTGTCTAATTTCATTTTAATTTAGTTTCTATAACTTGCAGATAAAAATATTCTGACACTTCATACCACCCAAAGTTCACCCTTCAATGATTTGTGCAAAGATGTGAAAAAAATGCAAATAATGCCTCATTTCCAACCTAGAAAAATGTCAAAGAGACATATATAGATAGATGCATACCTACAGACTGGGTGTCATTTGTCCAAAATGCTCATGCTTATGGTGTTTTCTATGTCAGTTTTTTTCCTTATTCTTGAATATTAACGCACACACACACACACACACACATATTGAAATATGTTATGGATGTGTTATGGATATGTCAAGTCTAAACATGAAATTGAATTGTTACATATATAATTATATTCTGAATGTGTTTTTTTATATAACACTTTAATGACTATGTACATAAAACAAAGTTTCATGAGGCACATTTTTCTGCTTATGGCATCATGCCAGTGTTTAAAGACTTAAGTTTTAGAACACTTTATTTCAGATTTCAAAATTTTTAATTAAGGATGTTTAACCCTGCCCACATTTTTAACACACACACTCAGTCATATATATACATATGTGTATATATATATGCATATGTGTGTATATATGTGCATACATATGTATATGCATATATACATGTATGTGTATGTACACATAATATATATATATATATATATATATATATATATATATGAGTGTGTGTGTATGATTAATATTCAGCTGTGGGAAAGACACCAAGAAACAGTCATTTACATCACAAGTAAAGGCATGGACTAATTTTGAATTTTCTGAAAAGTAAATCATTGATATTTATCAAATGCTTTTAGAACAGCAAAATTCTTTTTATCTTCCATGGTTTCAATGAGAAGGCTCATATATTTTAATGCTTAGTTACCAAGAAGTGGAAATGTTTAAGAAATATTAAAATTTAGGGAGTCTTGGTCATGGTGTTTCTCCACAGTAATAGGCCAGTAACTAAGTCAATATCATTTGAGGTGGTTTTAGTGACAAGTAATCAGGTTAGAAGAGAAGAGAGCATGTATGAGTGAGAGAGATGCAAAAGAGAGAGATGAAAGAAAGATGCAAAGAGAAAGAGGCACACAAGAAAGAGATGAGAGGTGGGGTATTCAAAGAGTCGATGGACCTGTCTTAGCTTAAAAAACTCTGGAACTGAAAGAGGATCAATTAAGAATTAACACCGGTAAAGACCCAAACAAGTTCAGGAATGTCAATAACAGGACACTGGAGACTAGTTGAGCTCTGCTCCACTGGGTTCCAATAAACTGCTGCTTTGATGGGTCCCTTTTCAACTTCTCAGGTTTCTTAAGGAGACCAACCTTATGCATTTCTGTCCTTGCAAAAGGAAACCACAGCTAACCCATCAACTGATTAGAGGAAGAAGGGAGAGGACAACAAAGACATGGGAGGAAAGACATACCACAGTGTTAATTCATCTCCATGTGTCACCTTTGACTGCGCAATACGTAATCATTCCTCTCGCTGTCTCTGTCTCTCTTCGTTTCTGTCTCTCATTCTCCTTCTCCTTCTCCCGAAGATTCTTCATCTAACACTAATAAGTGCTTTGATAACAGTGGAAAGCTTGCTCACTTCCTTTACAGCTGGAAACTGAGGCTCCACATAACTACTGCATCAAGAATCAAAATCCTGTTCTGCAGGCTGCTTGCTGCTGTCCACGGGGGTTGGTGCCTCTCACACTGCCTGTGGAAACGGGGCAATAACATTTGTTTCTAGTATACCAGGGGTGAAATCATTGGGGAAATGTAATAAAAGTGAATTGTTAAAATTAAATTAAGAAGAGCATCCTCTGCAAGCCCCAATTTATTATCACATACAATAAGCACAGAATTTTCAGCACCAATGCGACAGTAAAATTGCAATACTCCATTTCCGCACACTGGTGCCAGCCTACAAACCATTACCCTGTTTTGACGTGTGCTGCTCCAGATGACATCCATTCCTGCTGCAGCTCTGCTTTAATCTACAGTCCAAGAGGCACCCTGTACCACCACCATATTCTGTAGCATTTGGAAACAAAAGATAGTATTTGACCTAAGTTATAATACAGCAGGCAAGGGAAACAGTCTATTTTTCTGTCATGTATGCCTAAGCCAGGGGCTGGTACTATTTCCTTTTGTCTTACTGACTCTGACTACTAAATTTTGCCACTCCCTTGGCCATCTCCTCAGCAGAGTAATCTCAGTCTTAGTCCTTGAGTTCTGTCAGTTCTTAATGGCTTTGCCCATAGAGTAAGAAGACGCCTATGAAGTCCTATCACCAAAAACACTAGGAAAAGGAAAAGATCTACTGTCTCTGTAACACCCCTCCCAGATCCATTTATACCTCCCTTATTAGGGCAAGCTCAGTCACCACAGATATGATAGAATCCCACTTTCTGCCACTTTTCTCCAACCATAAAGAACCCAAGTGACCCATTTTATATTCCCCTTTAGAAGAATCATACTCATTTCATGATGAAAGAAAGCATTGCTTCCTCATTTACTATGGAGCGTGACACTAAAGAAACAGTCAGTCAATATTTTGCAAGAGAGTTAGTTGTAATTGGTGGGTACATCATTGTCCCTTCACTCCATGTCTTCTAGCTATGGGGAAAAGCACATTATTTTCAGACCAAACTCAGATTCTCACCTGGATTCTGCAATTTGCTGTTTTATCAGATAAAAGTTGCCCTGTGATATTCCAGGACTTAATATTAGAGGCCATTTGACCTAGTTATAAGGCTAGCACTTTTATCAGTAGAGATGAAGCAATTAATTACTTTTGAATTTGCTTATCAACCTCATTTTTTTTTTAAACCAAAGAACTCCCTTCACAGCCAGTTTGGGTAGAATAATAAGATGGAGTATGACGCATTTAGGAAGTCTGTGGGCAACAGTTGTGCCATAAGAGTAGCTGGCAGAAAGAAGAAAAATGGGCTGAAGTTCCCTTTTTTAATGGGAGCAATTAAATATACTCAACATAGACCTGGTTGTGGTGCTATTTCAGAGCTACATGCAGGTCTACAAGGTGGGCAGATGGATCACTCATATAGGGCTATAGCATTGTCTGCTTTGATGGCAAGAAGGCTCTCTGTGGAGTGTACATAAGGTCTCTTTTCCTACTCCACAGGCTGCATTTTCCACATCCCACTTCATTGTTCATCGGAAAAGCATCACTGCAAAAGATGCCATCAGATGTGTGAGAGAGCATTAGCAGTCAGGTCACCTCAGCCTCTTTAACAAGCTTGTTCAATGGGCTCCTGGGCTATCTTACACTCTGGATCCATTCTACGTGACCCACACTTTCTTAAGTCCGCCAGTCAGTTTTCTGTTTCCTTGAGTGATAAGTCCCAGAATGGGTACTGAGCCTGTCTTTATATCTTTTTCCTCAAGAAAAGTTACAGTGATATATACAATGAGATATTTAATATCACATCTACTTAGAAGTTTTCCTCTACCATCTATGGTCCTGCAGAGGTAGCCCTGCCAAGGGCCAGGGTGGTAGTGAAAACACTCTACTTAGTAACAACATTTGTTATCCTTAAAAGCCATTCTCCTATGCCATAATTCATTTCATTGTATTACTATCATGTATGTGTGTGTGTGTGTGTGTGTACAAAGGAAGGGTGTCTTAGGTATTGTTTCATTGCTGTGAAGTCAGCATGACCAAGACAACTTAACAGAGAGAAACCATTTAATTGGGAGCTTGCTTACAGGTTCAGAGGGCATATACATAGCCATCATTGCAAGGGAGCGTAACACCAGGCAGGCAGGCAGGCAGGCAGGCAGGCATGGTGCTGGAGTGGTAACTGAGAGCTTCTGTCCTCATTCACAGATAAGAGGCACATGGAGAGAGAGGGCTGAGAATGGCTTGGGCTTTGGAAGCCTCAAAGCCTATCATAATGACATATCTCCTCCAGCAAGAGCACACTTCCTAATCCTTTCTAAATAGTTCACCATATGGGAAACAAGCACTCAAGTATATGATGAGCATATGGGAGACATTTTCGTTTAAACCACTGCATGACTCCTACAGGCTTAGGGTCACACCATAATGCAAAATGCAGTCAGTCCAGCTCCAAAGGTCCCCATTGTCTTTTACAGCCTTAACACTGTTTGAAAATCCAACATCTCTTCTGAGACTCAAGGCAAGTTTTAACCGTAACTCTATAAAAATCAAAAAATAAATTACATACTTCCAAAATACAATGGTGTAGAATATAGAGAAGGGAAGGTAGAGAGCATAGTGAGGAAATACATGATGAAAGGAAAAAAGGAAACCCAGCAGGACAAAGTCTGAACTGTGTATCTCCATGCCCTACGTCTTCCACTCCTTCCATTTTTGCTGATTACAACATACTTCTCTCTCTAGGGATGGCTCCACATCTTGTCTGCAGCTTTCCTTGGTCAGCATCCCATGTCTCTGGAATCTCAAACATCTTGGGGTTGGGGAGCAATACAATTCAGGCCTCCCCTTCACAGCTTCAGCCTCTCCAGGTCTCCATACAGGGACTCTCCTGCCACATGCCTGGCCTTAGTGGCTTCTTTTAAGTGCTGAGGATGATTCTACAACCTCTTTATACTCCCTTATTCTTCCTAGACAGCCCACTAACTGAGAACCAAACATTCAAATCTGAAAGCCTATGGGGATCATTCTCATTCAAACCACCACAAGGGGTGTCAAAGAAAAATAATTCTCTCCTTCTTCCTTACATGAGTAGAACTCAAGATACTTAATTTGTTAACAAAATAATTACACTCTGAGCCATCTCATCAGCCCCATGCCACAATTTTTCAAAGAAGCTTTTCACAAAACCGTAAGTAATGGGTGAGAAAGGACCACCAGCATGGCAGTCTCAGTGGGCATGAAACCAATAAGCTCATTAAACTTGTTTGTTCTTTGTGACTTGGTGGACTGCTGCCAGGAAAACTCATCTTGGTCCTTCCTTAACTTTGCTCTGGTTCTGGATTCCTCTCCATAGAACTTAAATTTAATTATCTGCTTGATTCAGAATCTGAATCAGTTAAGTTTCTAAAATAATAACCCTTGCAAAAGGTAGCATTCTTTCTCCAAAATCTGAGATTGAGCACTGCAATTCTGCTAATAGAATTTGCCAGAGGCATCTTTCAGCATTTGGATCTGCCTTGGTTACTGTATAATCTTGCTCTCGTAAGGAGGTAACACATGAAATAACAATTTCAAGGGGATCAACACCAGACTAAATAATTACATATGGAAAAGTGTTTTTGTTTTTTTTTTTTTTTTTGACATAGCTTAAAGTCTTATTAGGGTCCCAGCTTCCCTGAAGCGACCTCACCTCTAAAATCTGATAGAATTATTTCTAGCTTGGAAGTGACTTCCACATGTTTCCAGTACTATAGCAAAGCAATTTCTTCTGAGTATGATATGGCCATTGGCTATGAAACCCAATAAACACATTGGTTTACCACACAACACATATGCAAACAGTACCCTACTGATCTCTTTATATATCCCTGAGAAGTCACACACGAAATTGGCACCCTAATAAGGGCTTGACAAAAACTAAAGATAATGGCTAGGCGGAACAGCTTCATGGCTCATGCTGTGAGTCATAAGACATGCAACTGGGGTTGATTTCTTCGAGAGTCAAGTATCCACAGACTAAGTCTTAGTTTAACCATTTCCTGTGTGATATACAGTAACATACCTCCTTGGCACATGTGATCTGTCATATGACTATGGGCATACCCTCAAATTTTCAGATAGACTAGGTAATATACCTAGTCTTGAAAGTGGCACATATGAAAGAAGGCTGTAAGCAAGTTATTGTGGCGTTTGTGTGGCCTTTGCTATGAGTTATAAAATATACAAATGATGCTGATCTTTCTACCCAGAGTAAACTGTCCCGAATTAGAAAATAGAGACATGTGGAAAGGATCTTCCTTATTAGCCTCTGATTCATCAGGCAAAAAAGAAGGGGACTGGGATTAGGAGAACAGGATTCAGATACTGGCTTGCTGTTACTCACAGCTAGGTCAGGGCATAAGGGTAAGAGTACAATAAAAATTGTATTGATTAAGCCCCTTCTGAGGTCCTGTGGCCATTGGGGAGAATCAGATCATGGGACAACACAGAGGGAATGGATAAACATAATAGTCACAAGAGAGGCAATGGTTCATCTCCAATGTACCAGGGCAGATAATGCAGAGTTAAAAGAAAAAAAGATAAGTCACTGATGATGGCATGTACCTGTAATCATAGCACTCAGCATGATGAGGCAGGATTATTTTAAGTTCATGACAATGTGGGCTGCAGAGGGAGAGCCTGTCTCAAAATAATAATAATAATAATAATAATAATAATAATAATAATAAGAAGAAGAAGAAGAAGAAGAAGAAGAAGAAGAAGAAGTTAATTCAGAGGGAATCTGAGGACTTTATTGAGTGGCATGGTGGGGCATGATTTTTTAATTTTTTATGAGGTGGGATAAGCTTTGGAGGAACTGAGTGATGGAGATTATCATTTAAACTGGATTTGTGAGGTAGTAAAACATTCCAGTGGAGCTGAGGAAAACATAAAGTACACAAAGGAGCTTATTCTGGTCACTTGAAAGCAAATGTGGCAAAATTCATATTATGTTCAAGTTACTAAGGAAAATAGCGACAGAGGCCAGAACCTGCGGTTGTGAGCCACTGGAAGGCTTTAAAGCTTGAGCCAAAAGAGGTGAATGAAAAAAAAATCCAGGTGTTCCCACCACGCCCTCTATTTCTGTGACAGTGAGGCAGGGCATAGGGAGAATGTGGGCAGTTAGGGAATTGGACCCAGGAAGACCCCGACTACCTTCACAAGCTCTCGCAGCATCAGTTGCAGGTTCTTCACAAAAGCCCATCTGCTTGATAAGTATATTGATTTATGACGGAGCTCAAACACTCAGAAGGAATCAGCCATCTTGTGCATGAGAAGAAAACAAGTGATTCTTTGTCCCACTCTTGTTTTCTTTGTTTCAGAACCATTTAAAAGCACATGTGCTTGATGA